AGGAAGCGGGTCTGCCTGAAAGGGAGCTGTCAAAGGTATGTTGGAAAGGAAATGCCTCTATCAAAGTGCAGTTGAGATTTCCCCCAACCAAATTAAGCTGACAGGTATTTGGAAATCTGAAGATTGGAAGAACCAGTGGTTGGTTATTTCTGTGTGCCAGCAGCTAGGTGCTAAACAGCAACATATTGCACAGTTTAGAAATCTGGCCATATAAAGTTGGGTGCCAGGAGCATGTCCAACTTCAGAGCTGCATGTGTGCTATAATAGCTTTAAAAAGCTGTGCTTGATGAGCAGTAAGTAGTATATAAAACACAGGATAGGAGTCAGTAGGGAGTGCAGAAGGCTTGGATGCCTTTTATCAAATTAATTGATTAAAATGCCAATTATGTTGGCATGAAGTATGGTAGGACTGCTATATACTACATAGAATCATAGAGTTGGAATAGACCACAAGGGCCATCGAGTCCAACCCCCTGCCAAGCATGTTGGCTCATGTCAAGTTTGTGGTCAACCAAGACTCCTAGATCCTAGACATGAATAGGTCAGATTTGTTGCACTTCATATAGAGAAGAAATAACCAGTATATTTCTATTTCTGGAAGTTAGACTTTTTTTACTCTAATATTAGATTCATTTGGCTGATATTCTTCTACACCAACCTCAAATCTACAGGATGACCATTTCCGTACTAGGAGTTGCTTGCACATGTGATGTTTCTTGGTTGGTTGGTACTCTGAATTAGGAAGTCTTCCACCCTGCAGTGCACATACTAAGAAGGTGATGGTCCCTATGCTGGTTAGTGCTAGTCAAGACTGAGGAGCAGGATCGTCATAGGAGGCAGAGCTGTTGCCTTGCCAAATAGTGGCAATGCTTCTAAGCCAGCCTTCCCCAGCCTTGGCTCCTGATACGTTGATGGATTACAAAACCTGTCATCCCCAGTCAGCATGGCCAATGGCTGGGGATAACAGGAGTTGCTGTCCTGCAACATCCGGGGACCCAAAATTAGGGAAGGCTGCAATGAAAAGGAGCAAGAGCAACACAGTGCCCTTGTTGCTTGTTTCGTTTTTGAAAGCCGTCACCCGAGTGACAAGATCAGGAGGTAGAAGAAGTTGCTCTGCCTTCAACTTCATGGGGGGCAAGCTTTATTTGATTGACATGGCCCCACTCAAATGACCCATTGGGAAAAACAGATCAAACTGGTGACCCCTTATGCATCAGATCCTTCCTGTTTCACAGCCTGCCTGGTCCACCAGGAGAGATTCATGACAGCACCTGAAGAGGCAGATGGTTCTTGCATGCAAGTTTCTGTGCCGTGTCTTGTATTTAAAGCCCACCCCCCTACCGGTGGAAATTTGGTTTGACAGTTACCTAGAATAGTGTTGGACTTGTGAAATGCTGGACTCACAGGTGCCCTTTTCTGTGCAGAAGGACTTGTTTCCCGCAGCCAGTGGGGGAGAAAATTCTGCAGTGCCGTTTGCTGCAGGATAACATGGGTGGCACGTTTTCCTGACTGTAGACGGTGCTGCAAGAAGTGCATGTCTGGCCAGCTTTACTTATCATCTGCATTATGCTCATTTTCATTTTCTATATCTGACTTAAACTCTCCTTTTTGTTTCTCTTCACCTTTAAGCACAAACATAAACCATCCTTGCTACAGCCTAGAACAGTTAAGTAAATTCTTCACTGCCCCTTAAGTGTCTTTGTCACATGAAATAGCAGTGTTGTAGTGACCCCCTCGTCATCAGTGGTGTTTGTAAAATACAATCATCCTTGTGAACTGTGCTTAACCTCATGGGATCCATCATCATTGCTTCTTTTCTATACTGCTTGTTGGAGTAGATGAAGTCATCCTCTTCCCTCTCCCATAATTAGGCTGCTCACGGCATCCGCCCATCTGTGAAATCCAGGGCATCACTGTTTGCTCTAACTAGCCGTTGGGGGTGGGAATCATTTTGTTCATGCAATACGGTTAGCAGTGCACCAATGTTGGAAGGATAACATAGATTCTTACAGAGATGTCCACTGAGCACAACTGTGTGTATGGAGGAATAGGCAAAGTTATCCTCTGAGCTGACCTTTTGTTGATCTCTCCTGCTCCAACCGATACCATCAAGTCCATAGCACTTACAAGCATGAGGCCTGTGACTCTTTTGCTGCTTCACCATAGCATTGGAAATGCTGTCATATACTCTCTTACACCATGGTTTTGTGAGCCTTGGAAATGGTGGCATTTGAAAACTTTTAAGGGCAGTTTTTAGCACAAATTCCTAGCATACTCAACCAGGATGGTTAGCGCCCCCCTCCCCAAAGAATGTGTGCCCTATCCAAAACTTGAGGATGATAAGGAGATTGGAATCTTGCCTGACCCTACCAGTTAATCTGAATTCTGTGCACTGGATGGTGTCATGTTTGCACAGGGACCTCTGCATGTAAAGTCCACCCTTTTGGGCCCCGATTACATAAACTGCACACCTTGATTTTGTGGCAGTCCCAGTCTCCCTCGCTATACATAGCCGGTGTACCCTTTAACAGCATCATGAAGGTACCCTGTAGTTCAAGGCTGGGTTTATACTGTTCGCTTAAATTAAACACCTGTATTCCAACATTTTACTTGGCTTCTCCGGTCCTGTGGGCCCGACTCGCTACCCAATCTCCCTTGTCAGGACTTTTTGGGGAGGAGGATGTGGGGGAAGACCTCAAGGTGCTACAGTTGACTTGAAGCCCATTGTGTGTAGGGGCGAGGGATGGGTTCCAGGAAGCAAGGGGCTCCTGGGGGCAGGAAATGTCCACGGATGAAATCAAACATTGCACTGCATTTCTTCTAGGGCAGCTGAAGAAGCCTTTGTGAACGATGTTGACGAATCTTCCCCAGGCACTGAGTGGGAACGTGTGGCTCGGCTCTGTGACTTTAACCCCAAGTCAAGTAAGCAGGCAAAGGATGTTTCCCGCATGCGCTCGGTGCTGATTTCACTCAAGCAGGCTCCGCTGGTTCGCTGAAGGGGAAAGCGCACGCCACACTACAAATGCAATATCTTTAACTTTACTCAGAGAAGCTGTGTTTGCAGTAATTGGATTAATTATGTTTCAATGTTTTTTGGGGTTGTTTTTTTGTTTGGGACCAAACCTCATGACGTACTTAGAGTTTGATCATTGTTTTGTGATTGCATGTTTTTTTTTCCTCCTCTTCCCCCTTATCCGTGTCCTCCTGGTTGTACATTACTGGGAAGAGACGTCAAGAACTGTAGTCTTTGGGCTCTCTGGCGCAGAGACTTCACTTTCAGCTGTACTGAAAATTAAAGATCTGTTTAAGCGGCACTCTTGTGTGGGATTTAATAAGTCAAGGCAACTTTCTTGTTAAAGCTTGCTCAGTAGCTGGGCTTGGGCCTGTATGGCTGCTAATTTTAAAGAATGTGTTTTGAAGCAATCACGTTCTTAATGGTCTTATAAAAGGCAAAGCAAATGGAGTTCCCTTTTTACAGTTATCATCTAATGCACGGCCCTTTCCACTGTGTTGTTTTTTTACAAGAGGCTTAACCCCCTACAGCTGTGGCTTCAGTGGAATAAGCTGTAGCACCAGGTATTAAGGCAGATGGCTTGGGGGTTGTTTCATACATTCCCCCCCTCCTCTAACTGCTAGCTTAATGTAGAGCTGTGCTTTCTTTCTGAACTGCTGCTGCTCTTGGCTGGTGTGTGTTTAGAGGAATGGTAGAAAAACTGGAAGTGGTTAACAGAAACTGGGTCCAACAAATGGAACCCATAGGTAGGTTTGGGGACGGGCGATGTCTCTGGTGCGAAAAGGATTTCCAAATCCAGCACCTGAGGGTACTTTAAATTTTTCCAGATGGCAGCAGGGAAAATTCCTTCAGTGGCAGAAGTCATTCTTGAGTGATACAACAGGAAAAACCTGTATGTAGCTGGTGAAATTATATTTGCTGTCAAAGAAACAAATGGCTGGAACTTGGCAATGCTGTTCTTAGTGTATGGCAATAGTTTAGCTTTCTGCCTAAAAGCCACCTCCAAAAGGTGTAACTGCTATTCTTTTGAGGGCAACGTGGATTGTTTTAATTCCTTTGTTGGACTCCAGAGACAGGGCCAACTCAAGCATCCTATTAAACAGCCAGTCTTCTAGGGAAAATGTCATCCACCCCCTTGTCCCAGCTTAACCAGAAAAGCTGGGTGTCCCCCGCAACTCTCATTGAACAGACTTCCACATTAATACTAACACTAACTAACAGGCTTTCTTAATTGTACTACTAGCTTGGTGGGGGTGGAGGAGTGAGAGGCAGTCTCGACATAAGAGCTGGAACTGTTTCTAATTTCAGGAATGTCTCCTAGCTTGCCCTACCCAGTGGCATAGGAGTGTACTGTGTTGGCAACCTCCACATTTCTCACGGAGTCCCCAATCTCCTTAGTGGCCAGCCAGAGGGAGAACCTCCTGAGTGTGGTTTAGTAGTTGTGTTCTGCACATGGCTAAGAAGGCGGCCAGGTGTGGGGAAACATTGCTCCCCAGAAGATGCTGAACTTCCAACTTGCTCCATCCCCAGCATGAATGGCAGATGTTGCATAACTCTGTCAGTAGAGCACGAGAGATTTTCCTGCATCGCAGGGGGTTGGACTAGATGACCCTTATGGTCTCTTCTCTACAATCCTAGGATTCTAGATGACCGGGGATGACGGGAGTTGCAGTTCAGCAAAATGCGGAAGGCCAGAGGTTCCCTGCATCTGAGCTAGGCCTATGAATAGGCTGCAGCCATGTTGGGCATCTTGCGCAGCTAACACTAGGGGCCCAAGTATTCTCTGTGGCTAGGAGTTCATTTTACCAGATTTGCCAGCTGTGTCCATTCCTGTTGGCAACTCCCGACTCACAAGTTGAATACCAGTGTTCTATACAGCTTCACTCCTTCAATTTTAGGAATTTGGTAATAGGTTGATGTGTATGGTTTCTTTAGACTACATGAGTGATGTGTTCATTGAAAATGAAGTAATTCCAGAAACTTGGGACATACTTAATAGCTTTCATTTTTATTTAAACCTTCAGTGTTCAACATAACACGTAACCTACGTCAACCTTGTCTTTCAATGTAATTGGTAGGCCAAAGAGTAAAATGGTACAAAATTAATTTTAAGAGGCAAACTAGGCTTCTATAATGAGGACAATGTTCACATCCTCAAGTCTTTGTGGTTACAAAAAAAATATTGCAAAACAAAATGGCAATGAAATCTGATACAGTAATTCTCTACTGATTTAATGTTCTGCACTCATCACTTAAGCATCTTTCTCTGGTATAACCATTTATGCACGGCAAAGGTGATTACTTCATAAGGAGTCAAACAACAAATGTATTTTTTAACAGGGAAGGGGCATGATCCACCCCTAAAAGCAACATGGTTGGTATTCAGCTTATCAAGAGATCTACTGCCCTTTGCCAGAGGCCTTAGGGTAGTTTATAACATACTAAAGGACATTTACATCCCCAAACACAAAATCAAAAATAATTATCTCAATATAGTTAATAAAAGCAGCAGTTTCAAGCAACTCATAAATTCATTCCATCAGAGTTCCCCCTCATTCCAAAACCTACTCTATGCGGTATGCCTTCACTGTTTCCTGGAAAGAATAATTATGTGGCTGTTATAGCCATAATGGTATGTCTAGGTGTCACCCCCACCCCCCAACAGTGTGGATTATTCTTTATTTCATTTCTATAACACTTTATATTTTAAAGAAAAAAACAATAAAGCACCAAATAAAACAATCCAGTATAAAACAAATTCAAGCTTCAAGGACAAGATTTCAGATCCTTCTCTAACTGACATTTTCCTTTCTCCATATTTATGTACTTAAATTAAGTAGCTGCCCCATAGCAGAAGCATTCTAGGAAGCCAGTGTGGTGTAGTGGTTAGAGTATCAGACTTGGACCTGGGCGATCATGACTGAGTGGGGATTTGAACCCTGAAGCTCAGCGAGTGACCTTGGGCAAGTCACAGCCTCTTCACTTACCTCACGGGGTCATTGTAGGGATTAACTGAGGATGGGGCGAACAGTGTACTCCTAGAGAAAAAGGTGGGATGGAAAGGCAGTAAATAAGCTCTTCTGCTTGCGTGCTTAAGAAAGCTGGAGGGGCCAAGCCAGGTGAAGATGTCAGTCACCAGCCTGTCATCCGGAGATCTCCATGTGGTCACAATTGAACCCGTGCCAGTCGCAAAAAGTGCCTGGCTAATTTCTAACACTGACTACGAAATAGTTAAAAGTGGACAAGCAGCCATTGCTAACATGCTCACACCAATTTTGATTTGAGAAAGGAATCCCTCCCCCAAGTTCATATTATCCCCCATGAAACTGGACAGCATTTAGGGAAACTGATTCTCAAGTTTCATTGTGGTATGGGGGGGTGATAACAATTCAGAGCAGTCTTAAATAGGAAGCTACTGAAGGTATTTGAATATAAATAGTAGTACCATTTATATAGGAGCAGCAATTCAAGCAATACAAAAGTGCAGTATTGCCCTCTGTTGGTGAGTGCGTTTGTCTTTGCTACTCCGCTGTAATTCAGGCCTTGTATGTGTCACATATTTGATATTTTTCTAAGACTGTCTAAGGGAGGACTCCAGTTTATCATTATCCAGCAAGAGCAGAGCATAAGCAGTTACTGGCTCTGGGGTCTTTCAATATAGGCATTTCCCTCTGAGACATTTCATCTGAGATACACATAGCCCACATTCAACAACCACAATGACAATGTGACAATGTTTTTTTAAAAATAATAATCAGAAAACTGAGCAATGTACCTTTTATGCATCAAGTGTTACAGGATTCACACCTCAATGAAGATGGGTACGTAGTATTTTTGTTCCACCCCACCCCTTGCAATCCATCCTTCCTTCCTTCCTTTGCTTGCTGGCTAAAGTGTGACAGTGAAGCATACTGCCATGCACTGAAAATTGCAGCACGAGACAACTCTGCTTCTGCTGGTGAGTACCAAAAGCTCTCAAATCTGCTTATCAGTCAAGTCAAGAAAATTCAGCAAGTCACACCAGTGTGTACAGAAGACAAATCAGAGGTAAACTGACAACACAGCAATCCGTTTACATATTACATGGTTATCACTAGCACTCCTCCCAGTATCAAACTTCAGTGTTCCTGTACTTAATAATTTGGAAGCAAGTCAAAGCTACACCACATTTTGAGCGCCTCCTTGTTCCATCCAATACTGGACTTTGTGGTCCCATACAGCAAAACGTATGAGGTAGCCCACAGTGGCTAACCACATACAAGGTAGCAGTTTCAGTATATTTGGCAAGTTTCGAGATATGCAGAAAAAATGATCAGTTTGTGCAATTAAAAAAAGCCAGAGGAATGAGCATGCTGACTGCCCTCCAGAAGACACGGAATGTAGGGCAACAACATCATTTGAAGGACAACAAAATTGGTGTGATCAAGTCTCTACTAGCAGCTTACATGAACCTGAAGGAGAGGTGACTATTACTCTTTAAATAAGTATACACACACTACCTTTTAGGATAAACTGTCTGAGGCTGAAAGAATGAGAACCGAGGCATATGCACTTGCCTCGCAACCCAATTCTCTCTCCCCCACCAATCCAGGAAGCTATACAGTTTTAAGGATTGTGACCATTTTAAAGCTAAAAATGTTCCTGCAGTTTGCGGGAGGTGGGGGGATTAATCAGGAAAAGGAGTAGAGCCCCTCACTTGATCTAATTAAATACTCTTTTGAGTTACAAAATGGACGCAGCCCAAGGCCGGGGAACATCTGAGGACTGCTTTCTGGCCCTCACACCACACTTTTCAACAGCATTACTCCAAACCTTGGCTTGAACTGTGATGTTGCCGGGATGGGCTGAGGGCAGAACCCAAAGTGAGCAGAGCAATGAAAGTAAAATTTACCTTTGCGCAGTAGGCCAATTTCTATACCCACCCCTTTCTATTCTCCCTCCGGGCAGGGAAGAAGCATTACCAGAGTTTAAAGACACATCCCAGCCAGCAAAAACTATTTGGCATGAAAAGCAGGGCTAGTGAAGGGTGTGGCCGAAAGAGAGTTGCAAGGGCCAGACAAAGAAGCACAGAGGGTCGTATTTAGGACTTTCAAACAGTTAAAAAGACCCTGACCCTGCAGTACATTTTGGACCAAACCAAATCAGCACACACAGCTGGTTCGGAGAGAACTGCATCTTCAAACACCTCAAGGAATGCAGGCATTGAGACTGCAGCCAGTCTCCAATTAACGTCTCCAACCATGGTTACTACAAACATTAGTCAAACATTGGCATGCCTGTAGTGCTGTATAAAGAACCAGTTCTTGCTTTTGAGTAAGCCTGCTTAGACTTGCAGCCTCAAGGGGTAACATATAGCTGAGGCTATTGTTGGGAGCATTATAAGGTAGCCTAACAAAAATCTACCTATAGAAAATAGACACGTAAATAGATTAGTGCTTGGGCTGCTGTGACATCTTTGAAGGTCAGTTTAAGTGTTGAATTTATCCAGGCAATGAAGACAAAGCAAGTGTTGAATGATACTTGCACACACATCAGACAAGATTCCTTTCTCCAACTAGTTGTCTAGCCACCAGCATGGATAAGCAAAGAAAGAACGTAACACAAAAGACTACAGAGGTTAACTGCACAGTCCTCTAAACATGAAGCTGCAACAAAAGACCATGAAGTGTCTTTAACCTCCACATTAGAGGATAAAACACCACTACAGGCGGAGGTGACAAAGATATCACTTTCTTCTTCATCCTAGCACGTTGTCTAGGCTCTTGGAAGCTGTACTTGTAAGTGCATCATATATCATTGGGCTCTTCTTCCAAACTAGGTTTTTCAATATTAATTTAACAAATAAATACATGGATGATCACTGCATATTGCTGGCTAGTCTAGCATTACGATTGTTGTAGTCTCTCATAAAGCTTATAGCTGCTCATTTAGCCTCTGCAGAGGCAGGAACCGTTGCACACATTCATATGGAAGGTTTCTTTCTTTAATGACTATTCCAGTTTCTGGTTATTGAGATGACTACGTCTTGGCTCATGTAGCTGGAAAATCCATGGGTAGGAAGTAGTAAGGGAATTCAGGTCTCTCATTTTTATTTTTAGATGTCTGGCATTCAGACATCCCCAGGGATTATTTAGTTTCATAAAGATGTGTGAGAAAGTCTCCCTGTGAGCAATCTTCCCAGGATCCTGTGTTCTTCCAGCACCCAATGAAACAGCACGTTAAAAAAAGTAAGATATAGATTTGAAGACCCTACTAGCCTACTTAAAAAAAGAAAGCTGACTTCAGTAAGAAACTTCTCTTTTCAGAGAGCTGCTATAAACTGCAGTAATGTGTTTCCAATGGTTTGCCTAGTATATCCTGCGTGTTGTATAGTCCAGAACCATACTAGCAGCTCCAAGCAAGGCCGGATCCGACAGCTCTGAGACAACCACCTTGACATTCTGCACAGAGAACAAGGCCTGCTGATGAATCACATCTTTGACAGCGTTGATATAATGGCTTGCAAGGATGCCAGAAAGTATCACAAGGGAGGGGTTAATAGTGTGAAGGATGTTCACAACTCCAAGGCCCAGAGCTTTCCCTGCTGTGAAAAGAAGAAACAGAAGTATGAATATGGCAGTGGTCAAGAGGCAACTTTTTAAAGTTGAAAAATGCTTCCACAGAAGTAGTCTTGCCCTTGGTCTATATCTACAGTTCTTTTGCTTCACTGTCATATACAAACAGATTTTGCAAGGTTGTTAACACACCATGAAACATGTTTATTAGAGGTAATAGTGGGGGTGAGTGTGCAACACCATGTCTCTCTTACACCACTTTCAAATGTCAAAAATAAAGCTACTGCCTGCTTTTATTTTAGGGCAGCTTAAGAGTCATTAAAACTAATTTGAAAAAGGTTCTGGTATCATGTGACAAATTTCATTTATTTAATGTGTACTTATTTATTTTGAAGGCTTACATCCCAGAGAAGATCTCAAGACAGCTAACACAAGATTCACAAAATAATATTGTACTCCAGTCTAGCACAGGAATAGAAATGCCAGAACATCCCAGAAAGCAACAATCCAGGATAGGTATTATTCTGTTTAAGAGCATATATAGTTTCTTAAATTGTGGGTTGGACTGATGCTTAGAACATCCAGCAAAGAAGAGAAGAACAGGACACAGCTGAAGTGACAAGGGCCTTCATTCAATTCAGCTTATGTCAGACAGCTATCTGCAAAACGTCCATGCGTTGCCTGCAAACAGAACCAGTTTTTCAGACAGCAAATATTCCCTAGTCTCACCACATCACATCTTTATCCCTAGCCAGGATTCTAACAAAGATTTCTGCTCCTTGTTTGCATTCTTACCTGTTTTGACAATATGGTCAGCTTTTGTATTTCCTAGTTTGGCTGCCTGAATGAGATGTGCAGCAGTTACTGTCTCTTCCTTCTTTACAGACATCCCCCCAATTAACAATAAATCCTCTGCTTGAACAAAACAAAAACAAAAAGGGGGGGGGGAGAGAGAAAAGGGAAGAGAACAAGGCGTTACAATTCAAGCACTACCATAAACAGGCTAGTGGTTTGTTACATTTCACCAGACATAAGAAGGCAACGAAATACAGATCCTGATGGGAGCAAGTAAGTACAAGGCCCTTGTTGTAGCTCTCTGATGATATGAAACTACTCTGTAGAGATACCCCATTGGGTTGCTTGTGCATGCATGATTCAACATAGTATTATTGCTTAAACTATCATCAGACCATGGGTGGGGTGGGGTTTGGTGGAGCAGAGCTACAAAGGGGCATTACTAGCACTTACCAGGAGAGGCAAAACGGTGAGGTCAGGCATGTGCAGGTAGAACAGTAGGAGCACCAGACTGAATTTGCAGGTGCAGTCCCAACCTTACCTCTGCCTCAACCCTCTTTTCCCAAGTAGCAGTTAGGCCACTGCCTGGAGGCTATTGCTGTGGCTGCCCCACCAGTCACACAGATATTATGCCACTCAGTACTATACTACTCATGCTATAATAATATACTATAATATATATTATATATTATTATATAGTAAACAATATACTATGCTACTCATTATCAGTGGGGTGTTTTTTGATTTCCGGCCCCTCTCTTTTTCTGCTCCCTATAAACAGAAGAGCTACTATCTGGTGACTAGAACCAGTGGAGCTGATAATTCTTTATCAATGTAAAGTGGTGTGATTAAGTAATTTATCAACTTTAAAATAAAACAAAGCTGCTCTGAGGTCTTAAAGTAGCTACTGCCAAAGTTTCATCATGAGAATGAGGCAGCTGAGAAGACATAAAAAGCGGCATTTCACCAAATAAAGGTATTCAAACGTATATGGCCGGAGGAAATTGCCTTATATTCAGTCATACTGGGCTACTTTGAGCAGTCTTGTAAAACACCTGGCTTTCTGTTGAGAATGCCTATGCAACATGTGTGCATAGTTCAGATGTGGACTTGCTTTGCAAGTAAGTTATACTGGCTTGGCTACTGACAGCAAAGTAAAATTGCCCTTGAAAATGCTGCTACCAAAACTATATTTAGTATTCTGACACTGTAATTATTTAAATGAACGTTCTGTATATGAACTTTTTTCCTTTTAGATTGCTTGCAATATGCACATAATGTGGTTAACAAAAAAAGAGGAATAGGTTCCACCTACCGTCGTGCAACTTCTTAGCTTCTCTCTGCAAGGCTATTCCAGAAGCATACGCTTCGATACATCCATGGCTCCCACACAGGCACTCGGGTCCATCTAAAGAGACTACAATGTGCCCAAGCTCAGCAGCACAAAAAGAACTTCCATGGATCAACTCATTCTGATGAATGATTCCACCGCCAATACCTGTAAGACACAAAAACACATTTGTGTTGCTATTTTAAAACTTTTTTTCCTTTCTAATTCATGCGATAGCAAACAACAAAATTCTAGAAAATAAATGTCACCTTCTGCTACTAGAATTTGTAAATCTCTATTCCATTTTGATATATTTTCCAGACCTATTTATTTATTTTTTCAATTATATGCAGTATTTCAATCTCAGTTAACACATCCCAAAGTGGTTAAACAACATTACGGCTTGGGTATAACTGTGAGCAGAAGGAAGTATGGAAGGGGCATTTCCATCTCCTCCTCCTTGTACTCCAGGAAAATATATCCAAAGGGTCAGAGGACCTTAATGAATAGCACTAAACCAGGGGTCAGCAACCTTTTTCAGCCATGGGCCAGTCCACTGTTCCTCAGACCATGTGGTGGGCCGGACTATATTTTGAAAAAAATATATGAACGAATTCCTATGTCCCACAAATAACCCAGAGATTCATTTTAAATAAAAGCACACATTCTACTCATGTAAAAACACACTGATTCCCGGACCATCCGCCGGCCGGATTGAGAAAGCATCTGGCCCACGGGCCTTAGGTTGCCTACCCCTGCACTAAATGGTGCATAGGGGATGCTTGTGGAAGGGCCCCCCACTCCATTTTGCAGCAATTCCTTCTTGAACTTGTATCTGAGAATTAGCAAGTTTGATTTGACTCATACATACTCTTCTATGAGTGCCATAATCAATGAGGAAAAGCTTGCTATTTGAGCTGCTACTACCCAAAATGGCCACATGTTTCCTATAGGTTAAGGGAAATTAAATGTCATAGCGAACAGTCAGGTTCAAACGGCAACCACTGGCACATAATTCATTAAAAAAAGTAACTACTGCTTTGAGTCAGCAATTATGATCCAACACAATATTTAAATGTGTTTAAAATGCAGGATTTCAGTGGTTTAGCTCTACGTTGGATTTTGGCCAAAGCACATAGATAGATACCTGTACCAGTGATGAGGGTTACGAAGTTTTCCACTCCTTTTCCTTGCCCAAATTTTCTCTCTGCCAAAGCTGCACAGTTTCCGTCATTGTCTACCCACACTGGCAAGTGAAGCACATCCGATATCGGAGTCCGCAGATCAACAGTACTCCACTCCTGAATAAGTTTTGTGGAATGAAGAACAACGCCTTCTCGGGGATTTACTCGTCCACCAGTAGAAATACCTGAGCCACAAAGAACCAGAAAGGAGAGCATCTAAATCCGGTGTTTATAATATACAAAAAAAAAAAAAATCTTGCCATTCAGAAACACCTTTCAGATTTTCAAATAAAAATAGGCAGTCATCAGTAATCCCCCCTAAGCAAGCTACAAACTGTCACTCATTTTCTTCAAACTTTAAAGGAGATGCATCAACAGCACTAGCTGGCTTCAGATTTTGACTTGTCCTTCATTGTTCCTTGTCTATCACACATCTCATTGATATAAAAGTAAAAGGGATCCCAGAAGCTGCAAAGGACTTAAAGGCTGATTAGGGCTGTGTCTTCTATGTCACCCCAACCTTTAGTACTGCAATCAGTGCCTTTTTTCCCTTTAGTCTCAAAGGAAAAGAATATGATCAAATCTGTATGTGCAAATGCAAATTACTTTTGCAGAATTTAGCAACTTGTTATGAAAAGCACAAGGTGCAGAATTACAGAACTATATATAAGCATTAATAGAACATAGTAATGCATTTTGCAGTTTATAATTACAAACAGATCTGCCTTTAACTGTTTTCTGTAGTAAGTCAGTTTAAATTGTACAGCAGATCCAGCATTGTGTAACCCACCCAGGGAACTCTGTTCAACAAAATGTTCTAAATCAATAAATATAGTAATTATCTTTGAAATATATAGCACTTTGATTTAATGTTCTCTTTTAGTGAAGTAAAAATAAAATAAAATGTTTGTTAAAAACTTACCCACACCCAGAATTCTGCAGTTCAGATTTACTGCTTCTGAGGCAACCTCTACACACATCTTAAGGATCAACGCTATTCTGTCCTCGTAAGTTTTTGGATTCAGCTGGGTATATTTCTTAACTATTTCACCCTAAGTGAGAGGGAAACACCATTAAGCTTCTCATATTTTTCTAACTGACCACAACTATATTAAAAGTGGGCTGTCAAATATGTGACAGGGATCAAAGAGCAAGAGAATATGCATAGTATACAAATGTAAGCTGAGGAGACAGAAGTGTTTGTGTGTGGACATGCAACCTCCCTGGGCTTTCATTCAGGGATGGGATGTACTCAATTGGCATATCCTACTCCTACAAGCTATATGCCCAAGCTCAGTCTATGCTTAATTGCTGGTCCAAAGACTGTTTGCACTCCAGATGGGAGGAAAATGGTGAGGTCAACACACTCTACAGCAGGAAAGGAGCAATGGAGCAATAAAAACAATCGTTTAAGGGAAATAAGCATACTAGCTTTGTTTTTAGATGACGTGTGAGTATTTCACAGCAGGTGCCATCTTACAAAAGGATCCCTCCTCTGCAAGTGTGAAGAGGAGACTATCCCTTCTGAAACAGTGCTTGTCACCTGTACTTTTAAAAGAGTTTACATTAAATAAATAATGTAAGGTTGCAGATGGCTGCAGTGGCTGGAAACAGACAGACAGGTCCTGCACATGTAGCAGTGACCAGAAGAGGAAGGACCGCTAGGAGGAGCGCAGAGAAAAGAAATGCCATGGTACATCTGCAGCAGCACAACTGGATACCTTCATCTGCCCCAGCTGCAACAAAACATGTCCCTCTCGTATCTTTCTTTACAACCACAGCAGGCACTGCAACCTTCCAATGGTTTACTTTGTGCCACCCCCTCCCCCAAGATGTACTCCTTCACTGTCTCCTGAGACAGGTGGATGCCAACCCTTTCATTAAATAAAATCAAGCTTTTAAAAAAATGTTTTAAGTTATTCACCAGGAATACTAGCATGGTAGACCCACCCCGCATAATGCCTTCCAGTCGCATAGCACAGGGTTCATCTTTGGAGATATGCTGGAGATATGCATTGTTTGTATGCAGGCTTCACCAGCAACCAGGATGTAACCTGCATTTGACAGACTTTCTTCCTGTTTTTTAAGTGGTTCAATACCACTCCCAAGAGTGTTCAATAGGATTTTGACTTACACTTTCTTCTGTGAATTGTTTGAATTCAAGTGTACAACCCTTTTTTGGATTGCTGGGACATTCATGTATGGCTATAGCTGTAAGTTTTGTTTTATGACTATGGATGATATACAACTTATTGAAGTAGGCTGTATATGAGATAGGAAATTCTCATGCCTTTGGGTTTCAGAGGGCTTTTCCTATGCAGCTAATTTAGTGCCAACATGCTACTCTCCCTACAGAACTGCCTTATGGTTGAGTGAAATTGTTATTTATTAATTGCCTTCCACATATGTCCCAAAGTGATGCACAAAACATAACAAAAGCAGTTAAAAACAGCACAAAACTAACATTATGAGCTTTTCAAAACATGCAACAGAAGCTTTTGAAAGAAAGATGTATCCAATAATTTCTGGAAAATGTCATCTCTTAGCAGGGATGGTGTTCTGCAGGACAGGGGCAGAACACTAAAATTCCTGCTCCATCTTATTGTAGAGCAGGCTTCTGATGAGGAACTCTCCTGCAGAATGCAGTGACCTATTTGGTGGTATGTTAGGGATAAGGCAGTCTATTAAATATGCTGCTTTTATATAGACCCTTGACTGTAAGTACCAAAACCTTCTACGTGGCCTAGTAACGGATTGGCAGCCAGTACAAATCTAACTAGCAAGGTGTTATATGCTAGTGGTAGTTTGCCACCAAAAGCAACCCATCCACCGTGTTCTGCACCAGCTGAAGCCTTTGGACCAACCTCAAAAACAGTACCACATAAATAGATAAACATGCACATTCTGTATGGTTTTTTAAACGTGATCCATTAATCTTCTTAAAAATTGCAATGTGCACCCCACCCCAACCTCCCCAATAGAAGTTCCCACCCGGTCTTACTGTTTATAATTACCTTCATGCTGACAATTGCAACTCGGAGGTTTGTTCCACCCAGATCCACTGCCAGAGCACTCTGGGTCTCAAGGATATGGTCGATATCTTGAGAGATGTTTTCCTTTACAGAAGGGAAGCAGAATTTCTTCTGAAGGGGTTCTTGAAGATCAATAGACTTAAGAAACTTTAGGATTCTTGGAACAGCATTCCCATCTCCATATATCTTTGAACTATAACATCAAATAACAGCAATTAATGTAGGTGACATGTTACAAAACACCTTAATTTCCTAATCAACGATTTCTAGATTGCAAGTAGGGGGGAAGAAGACAAAAATACAATTTTGTCAGGAAGAATTTGCGCTTGTGATAACTGATTTGCAAATTTATAGGAAACATAAATTTGAAAAGTTAAATGAATTTAGTCAAAAGTTAAGTCAATCTAAATCTCATCTATTTCAACTGGAAAACTACATTTAAGGATATCTAAAATGACATTTTTCACAGATCTATATATCAACCTGCATACTGCTTATTCAAGAATTTAGCTGGGTTTTTGCCTAGTTGGCAAAATTATGCACTTATATTATTCTAACTATTTCTACTGTGCTTATGACCTTGGCACTATACATAAAAACCAGAAGCTATAATTCTATCCATCCTTAACTGGAAGTAAACAAAACTTAACTCTGGGGGATGTACTTCTGAGTAGCTCTGCATTAAATCAGACTATATGTCACAGATTGTAATGACGCATCGAAAAGTGATGGGAAATAGTAAAGATATAAAGATCAGCTAGAGAAAGAGTGCAGTACGGACACATTTTTATCAAGCATTGAAATACACCCACAGAAGAATGAAAGTGTTAAAGATTCCTACAGTTATGTCGAAGAGTTCCATGTGATGGATTAGCAACCTATGTGAATTGCGAGTCTGATGAGAACGTATGTATATAGAGCTTTTGAGTGTGCAGAGTACTTTATATTCATTATCTCAGTAATCCTGAGAATCCTGTAAAGTGAGTTAGTATTATTATTCCTATATTACAAGTGAGAGCCATGGCTGAGAGAATGTGGCTGCCCTAAAGCTGTCTGTGGCAGACAAAAGATTTAAAACAGGGAGTTCCTCATTTGGAGTTTAGCCTCTTATCTGCTGCACACTATCAACATTGCAATTTATTTTGATATAGTCACACTACAAACTTCTTACTACAAAAAGGAAAGGGGAATAATGTAGGATACCCAACTTTAAGACATTTTGTGGCCATTAAGACTCAAAAGGGGCTCAACCAACGCTGTGAGCATCAGATCAATTCACAGAAATAAAACGGTTCTATTTTACATAATGATGATATCCTCTATAAAACGTGGCTGAACAGTGTTTCACCAACATCATGGGGGAAAACTTCACCAGTGCTAGTTGTAGATGAGAGTTTGATCCCAAATAATTATATCTACACATATTTCTGCAATATAAAGGCAACACCTGTGCAAAACCAGCATGGCACCAGCACTTGTTAGCTATATGCTGGTGCAGCCACAGGCCCTTCCTGTATTAAAGCTTAACATTTATCTGCTAGTGACGCAAACTTTAATATGTATTAGGGAAAGTTAAAAAAATACATATTGGGGATTAACAAAAATGTAACTGTCAGTATTGTAATAGCTTTAAACAAATCTATGGTGCAACTGCACTTGGCATATTGGCAGAGGAGCTCAGTGTGATGCCACACTGCCACCTTCCTGACCAGTGGCACTGCTGCTGCTTAACCAGCAGGGGAAAGTTGCAACATAACAAAAGTATTTTCACTATTTTAATGACTGTACTTACCAAGGATATTGTTTCCCAAACTGGAGGTGCAGAGCTTGCAGTATTTTGTCCTGTGTGTCAGCATCACGAACGTGAAGGACATTTTCACCTTGATTTTGTTTTTGGAAAAGTGATAGCAGTAATATTTAGGAAGAAAATGAATTTAAAATGAAAAATACTTGCTTTTGAACGCTACCAACATATCCTCACCAGGCATAGTTACAGGTGATGAGATTGGAGTTGGAGAGATGTTACACCTGCATTGCAGGCAGATAGGCTAGAATAATCAGTAGCAGATTGCATGGTGCAGCGGCCGTGCTTACCTGGCCAGGAAGGAGAGGGGAAGGGGTGAGGAGGCTGGTGAAGTGCAAACAGCACTGACCTTCCCACTGCCTTTCCCCTCTAATAATAAACAGTGGTTCAACTGTTGGGAAGTCAAGTGAGCCTCTCCACCCCACTTCACCGTCCGCTATTGACTATAACTATTCAATTTTAAGATAATTATACTATTGTTTTCACACTTTTGGCAATGACAGTCTGTGTATATGAATTAAAGTTCAACTACGGTGCTGAACGTGTAAAAGTGTACATGGTGTTCCCTGAAAGCGTGGCAAAAAGCACAGCACACTCTTATAGCAGTGTGATTGCCAAGCAAGTACATAAGGCACTTGGCTACATTACACAGAACTCGGAGCCCAAGCTGCCTGATCCCCAGCTGTTTGATCCTCTGTAGGACAACCGACTCTAAAACAGGAACTCGAATACAGATATGGTTGCTTGTGCCCATTAATTCCATAGAATGTGGTGTGCCTTGATCACAGCTGCATAATGAAATGGGCCTTGATAATGCAATAGTACAAACGGGCCCCATGACCAAACAATGCAGAGAAGAAAAAGATGAGCATGGAAGAAGAGGATTTCCCCCCTTATTTGACCTTACGTCCTCTTTGGACATTTCAGTCCCCACATTCAGGCAAGCAGTGTCTCTGCTTAAGCCAGGTACAAAACACACCCAAGCCCTCTCCCCTCCACCAGGATGGCTTCAGAGAGCTTGTGTGAGAGAGCTTGTTCTGACCCTTTGTATCTGAAGCTACAGAGCTATCACAACAAGGCTTGTCTTTGGCAATATAGGTTCCTTTCAAGTTCTAAGTGCTCACAATACTGGATAGCATCTGGGCCAAAAGATGGGTTGACAGCAAGCTTCTTCACCTTCTTTCCTCCCTTGCAGCTTTAGTTATTCCATGGGGGGGGGGATTGGATTTATTTCCTTTGTCAAAGTTATCCCCTGCCCCAAGTATGAGGCTCTTTTTTTCCATGCCAAGAGAATGCTAAAGCAATTTTTGCTGCATTAGCAACATTACTGTCTGGTTTCCTGTTCTATCTGGTGGCTTCCTCAGTTGGTCAAAAGACATAATAAAAGCACTCCTTTATTATACATTTCTGATACATGGGTTGCAGAAAATATATTTTCCCCTTATTTAAAAACAGCCACAAAACCCATTTGCCAGTTATCATTTCTAAGTAACAAAGCTGGGCACACCTAAGAAAAGAAATGCAGGAAGGTAGCTCTGTATGTATCCAGTACAGACATATACGCCTACTAACCAAGGATAACATTTCACATTTCCAGTGGACTGGGCTCCTGTCCATGAAAACTTATGCTACAAGAACACTGCTAGCCTTACTTGAATACAATACCTGTTTCTCTTCCTATCTGGCGTGTCCCAAGATTGATGACAGGAGTACCAAACGCCCCAACCTCTCGCACACCACAGCTGCTGTTTCCAATCATACAGCCAGCGTGAGCCACCAGCTGAATGAACTGGTCAAATGGAACATGCTTTACTGCTCGGAAATTGGGGTGGTGTTCAACACCCTTCTTCCTCATTACCCGAACCATTTCTTTGCTCCCTGTAATGAAAATAACAGTAGATCACTTAACGGTAAGTAACTGAATTTTGGAAGCATCACTATGTACACCAGGAATGGGAAAACCTTTTCAGTCTGAGAGCCATATTCCCTTCTGGGCAACCCTTTGGGAGCTGATGGGCCCGAGGGGCTGCATTTGGTAGCATTCAAAAGCAAGTATTTTTCATTCTCTTCACAGGCTACAATATTAACTTTAGATTCATTGAATAAGAACTCTTTCCCCTCACCTGCATCAATATTTGGAAATAAAACCAACGTCCTCTTGTTAAAAGAGATTAAGGCATCCAAAGTCAATTCAAACATCTTTATGGAATGCTTAATGTCTGTGGTCACTGGGTGCTGTAAAGCAATTATATAATCCTTTGGTTTTACGTCTTCACCTGTAAAAGCAAAGTAAAAACAAAAGCCAGCTTTAAAAAAGTAATATAATTAATTGGGTTGGACAAGAACCAAAAAACCCCCTATTTCATTCTGGGAAATTACTCAAGATTTATTCCACTGTGAAATAAAAAATAAATTGTTCTGAAGTCATTACAGTAGTTACCTGGAGTATTTCTTGCATTATCTACCAGTGGTTTGGGAAGATCTGATCAAGACTGAATTATGTATGGTGCCAGATTATTTTAGTACAATCATTTATCTGTTCAACTTTGTGACAATCCTTGGCCTTAAAAGGAAGGTGTCTTCATTTATTTTAAAGACAAACAGAGATATTGGATTCTAGTCTCTGTATATTATACAATACTTGGTTCAATTTATTTTGAACTCCACCCAAAACCTAATAAGCAGTTTGTACCCCCAATGCAGGAGAAGATTTACATTTAAGAACTTATATTGTCAAACCCCAAAGAATTGAATTGGCTCATCTGGATCGTTACAACAAATCCGAAGTCTTTGAAATATATTCTGCTACACTGTTTATTGTACATGCCTTACATTCATTGTTCCTAATGCAAAATTCTCTCAGGGTTCTGCAATATTCTCCATATATCCCAAGATTAATAGAGCCTAATTTTCACTCCAAAATGTCTACTTATGAAGATATGAACAGGAGTCGGACTCTGGGCATTTAGGAACATGCAAGGATAATCCTGTGAGACAGGAGAGTGCAACTGAGCTTATAACCCTACCTCTGCCTGCCTAACACTATCCCACATTGTCAGTTTGTCAGCAGCAGGACAGCCTACCAAATGTATGAAGGATGTCCTTGTGATCTGTAACCCCAAGCTAATGGATAACACTGGGGAAAGGCTGGAAAAGAGATGCACAAAGGGCAAATGTTCACAGCCCAACCGTACACAAACCAGCCTCACATGATTATACTTGTGTGTTCCTGAATAAGCCTTCCGTACTCCTCTAATCAGAGGTAAGAGAACAGCACCAATCTCCAACACATAACCTAAAGAAAGACTGCACAATGTGTGACACACCAAGCCAAATGCATCCCACTAACCATGACGGCAGCCCCATTAGGGGGTACAAAACATCCCTTTGCTCTGTACCTGCAACCACTATTATTAGGCTGTCATATAAAGCTGGTGGCCTGCATTCAGCTTGGAGGGTCACAGGTCAGATAGTCTATATTTGCAGCACACCTACCTAACCACATGAGGATAATGCTCATGTAGTCCTTGTTTTTGGCAGATAACAACTTATCATATGAAGGGCAGCCTGCCAAGAGGATACGGTCGTGGTCTTCACACATAGATATCAAATGCTGCTCTGCACTTCTTGTGCAACACACATGGTAATGAGCCAGCTTGGTTATGGCATGTCTGATGGAGTCATCTATAGTACCGCTGACTTCTCCGCCTTCAATATGAAGAATTCGAATGTTCATTAAGGCTGCAGATGTTGCTAATGCTAAAGCATCAAACCTGTCTCCATGGACTATCATTATGTCAGGCTTCAGACGATTGAGGACATCTGGCAGCTTGACCAAGGCAAGGCCTACAGACTCCACCATGGCTGCCTCATCTTCTCCTCTCACTATTGTGTGTAACCTAGTGTGGATGTCAAAGTCGTCCTGTTCAATCATACGGTAAGTGTTACTGGGAAGAGGAAGAGGGGAAAGTGTTAAAATTGCAAAATGGTGTTTCATAAAATGGTGTTTCTTTGACAATGTATGACTAACATTAGGAAATAATAACATTTTTTAAACCCATGCAACTAGTTACAAACTATTAAAATTTCTATGTTTATCTATGGCTGAGAGGTTTGGATACTCTAGGTTCCAAAAGTTTATCCCAAGTGATAATGGATTCAGATGATCAACATTATAGTCACTTGTGAAAGTGAATGTTGCTCCAATTCCACTTTATGAATATGGAGATGAACAGCATTCTAGTGTTTAAACATAACTTCTGATATAATCATAGGATTTAAAAACTAGTAATATAAAAATGAAACTGCATTGTGCCAAAATAAAACTATATTTTGCTGTTAGTAAGAGGAAATGAACACTGCTGAGACACAATGAAAGGGGAAAGACGAAACACTTGTGATGTTCCAACATCGTTATTAGTGTTAATCACAAACCTATCTGCAAAATGAGAACTGGGTAAAAGTCAGGAGTCATAAGAATGAGGAGGAAAAATATTTTCCTTCCATCTGCAAAAGTGATTTACTTTCCCGCCTCAATTATATTGGAATTCTTAATTGTTTCAGTCCATAATTTAATCCCTAATTCCAGCCAAAAAGTTTGAAAGCCAGCAAAGCACTCTTTATTTTTTATCTTTAAAAAAAAAAAGGCAAACACATCAATTTGAATTGGATGGTTAGCAAAACTACTAACTTCTTCGTGACCACTGGCATCCTGCCAAAATGGAAAGCTATCACTAAGAAAGGACTTGAAGGTTAGACCTTGCAATTTCTTAATAGCTGGCATTATTCCTTAGAATTATGGTGCATTTCCTACTTAGGCCGCACACATTTCTCAATCTAGATATTGCTCATGGTCTGGACCGTACACCTATGTAAAAAAAATAAAATACTGCAAGCTACTCATTGTAATTAGCCTTCTATTGAAAAACGATGCTTTTAAAAAAATGGATGGAGCTGCAACTCTGATTTAGCATGGTGTTAATTACAATATTAGCAGAATAAGTTGTTCAGGACAGGGATCAGGAAAACTGGAATAACTCTTTTGCAATAAAAAAATCATTTTATTAAGAGTACCAACCCCCGATCTTCTGTTGTACAGCAAAACTAAACCTCTCCTTTTAGGTTCATATCTGCAACATCATTTGAAGACACCTATTACTGTGTTGTGTTTTGTGAACACTACATTCAAACGCAATCCAAAGCCTCAGTACTATGATCATCAAACTGGCCTAGTCCTCCTGCAAATGATGTTCAGGGCAGTTATCTCTAAAAACCCAAATAAATGACTATTTCTAAGATTTTTCAGTGCCAAAAAGTACCCCAGGAAAAGGCAGAAACTGCCTCCCAGCCATGTCCACTGCTATGCTTTTATTCCCTGAAAAGCAGTTGAAAAATAAACATACCCAAAGGCTTTCCATGCATTCTCAACCCTAAGACTTAGCCTAACATTCTTTTTAAACTTGATTAAATATTGTGTGCCATATTCCAAGAAGGTAACATTTTATTACAGAACAAAGGCACTGCAGTTATGAGTGACATAGAAGAATGAAAGTTGGTAGTAATTTTCCTCAGCTTTACTACAGTGTGTCTGGTATTGTTTGCAAAAATAGCAATAAATCAATGGTTACATAATCAGTTCATAGAGATTGTCCTGTTTGATGTATTTATCAGCATTGCATGCAGTAATGATAGCAAGTATATTCATGGCTGCCAAGATAGCAGAACAAACAAAATCATACACCTTACCCATAGTCATCAATCAGGTGGGAGCCCAAAACCACAACATCCAGCTCAAAGAACTGTGGCTCTGCTTTAATGCCAAACATGATTGGGGCCAATTTGGAATAATCAGCCCTGTTGCAGGTAGCAACACAAACCCGAAGTTTCCGGTTGTTCCCATTCTTCTCCATTATTCGCTTTTGTTTCTGTTTAGAAAGGTTCGTGAAATACAGTTCCTGAAATGTAGGAAGCAAGATACAATTGCACAAGAATTATTACACTAGGAGTCAAGAGTAGAGTATTAAACAGAGTACTGGGCAAGGTGACAGATACTATTCGGTCATGAAACCCACTAGATGATTTTGGGATGGTCACCCATTCTCAACCCAACCTATGTCAAATAGCTGTTGGGGTGACAGTGGGGACGGGGTGGAGTGGTGATGCATGCTGCTAAGAGCTCTTTGGAGCATGGGTGGGAAACAATTGTGATTGCCAGACAGGCACTATGCAAAGGTTGTAAGCTAGAAGGCCACACGCCCAAGATGCTGTACTGTAATAACTAATGCTACATGCATGCATAAGCAACAGCATAGCATACTGCATATACTGTACAGGAAAAAATAACTATGTGGAAGTGTCTATTTATCCACAACATATTCCTGGGTGCACAAATGTCTTCATTCTGTAAATGAAGCAACTGTTCCATATGTGAGGCAGATTTTTTAGCAATTGGTCATTGTTACATAATAGACTCTGTACCATTCCTTTATAGCAGAAGCGGGAAAACTTTAGGCATGTGGGTTTACTTTGTCATGAGAATCCTGAGGTCCACCGTCTGGAGCCACATACAAAATAATGTCTTAGAAAGGACACAGAACTGAGGAAAATGTTGTCTCTGAGAATATGCTCAGCCCAGAAATTTGTTTTCAGTACCAGAATCATACCAGTACCACATAGACCCTTTCATACAAACACCATTATCTTCCTCTGTTGTTGTTGTCACTAATAACCCACCCACCCCATCCAAAGGTCCCACAGCAGGTTACAACAATTAAAATATTAAAATCAGTTTATAACAACTTAAAATTATAGAAATAAGGTGGGACTGAAAACATACACCCTAAGTGTCAAAAGCCAGGGTAAAGAGGTACACCTTTAGCATTATACAAAAGCTGTATAATGAAGGTGCTAGACACACCTCTAGGAGTAGGGAGTTCTGGTGATTCAACAGCCTAATTTGAGGAGTGGGGGGGATCATATTTGTTAAACCATAAGTAGCAGGAAACCTTTGCTGCTCTACTGCAAACCACCCAGAGACCTACCAGCAGGTTCTGAACTGCCCTGCTCTGCTTTACACATGTCTATATGCTGCCAACAGGATTCCAAGGATGGAAATTTTTGCAAAACAGAACAAAAGTTTTCATTTTCATGTCTTATATAGAGAGAAATCCAGAGTTGGAAGAGAGATGACCTAAGTAGGAAACTCTCATTAATTTCACTTTAATCTGTTTTGTAAAGGGTTCTTTAAATCTGGGGCCTCCTGCTATAAGGAGAGTTCACAGTTTCAGTTCCAACTTATTTCAAAACACGTGTTTAGCATTTGTTTTGTTATGTAGAAAGGTAACCATACAGTACACAACCAACTTCCTTCTGTAGTCTCACTGAACACACCCATAAATACAAAGTACTTTCCAAGAAGCAGACAATGAATTGTGCTCTGCCCTTGCTTGATAATAGTACAAAACTCTGTTTTGTACTGTTTTTTATTAACACACCTCATAACATGCCTTGCTTACATATTGCAAAATGAAGCAATTTTTTGAGGCTATTGTGACTTACCCAGGACCTTTATCTAGCTTGCCTTGGAAGTACGTAAGCACTATTGGGACTTACTCCAAGGTAAATGTGTATATAGGGCTGCAGGCTAAATTGGATAACCTCTCTAGCTTACTCTCCCATGAGGACTTCCTAGACCTAAGCAAAAGAACAGAACAGGACTGAACTCTGATTTCTTACTGCCCAATTGCAAGGATAAATGGAAAACAATTATCCCCCTCCACATTTGCATGCTTTAGTAGGCACAGAGCCATTAACTGACCAACTTTTATAGCATTAAGTGGCCGTGCTAGACATCATGTCATTCAGTATTTTTCCTCTGAAAAGTTGAGAATAACTACACAGCATGCTACAAAAATCTAGAACAGACATTTCCTTAAAGTTTTAACAAGTCAAAGATGCTCAGTCTAGTTACACATCTAAGTATTCATTATTTTTCTCATATAAAATATGTTTAAATTCAGGAAATTAGCTGCTGGCAGGTTTGTTCACAACAAATTTATCATTAGTCATGGGCTGTAATACAACTTTATATTGGTGGCCAAAGTACTGCTTTCCCTCAGAGTCACAAAAGAGAGAAAAAGTTCTTCATTTAATACCTAGTACAACACCTTCTATAAGCACAAAATGCTACTGTAGAAAGTATTACTTTGGACAACTCTCTCAATAATTTTGTATTTATATTCTTAGCTTTAGAACAAGGAAATGTTACCTTCTATCTCTTTGCACACCATCCAGTGAAGGATTAAACATTAGCTTTTACTAATATTTGCATCAGAATTACTCCGCCTCTCCTTCCTCAACACTGGCTAGTGAGTCATGTTTAACTCATAAATTACTCCTCTTTTGAAGCTTAATACTTTTTCAGCTGAAACCAACAGCATGCAACATACAGTATAGGAGGAGCAAGGGAACCTGTTCAGTCAAAGGGTTAGGCCAATTTAAATGCCAAAACAGCAAAGGAATGTGAACTACAGTAGCAAAGGATCTACAAAACTGAACAGTTACCTGTTAACCAAGCAGAATGTGAAAATTAAATGTATACTTTTCTGAGCTGAAATCATTGTCATTATTGTGGCAATGTGGGATCTGGAAACAAATTACATGCTTTTAAACCATGATAATAAGTTATCCAGTTCATGAACTGTTTTCAGGATCAGCAGCACAAACCCACTTTTATTTATTACCACCTCCCATTACAGTCAGTTATTCTTCACAAAGGGGCATACCGGTACTTAGGGGTTGGCTAGGTTGGTCCCTGCCAAGGGCATAGGCTTGGGGGGGGGTGTTGCAAACATTGTGCCACTGCTTGGCACCCCTGAGCTGCCATCAAGAGCTGCAGCCAGCTTGAGAACAACTCTCCACTTTAGCATGTGTCTCCTTTTCCTTGGCACTCAGCAAACTTGGTGGGCACCACAGCAGTGACTATTTACTGTTGCCCTGAGTGAGAAGGCAGCACCTCTGCCCTCCTTCCCCGCCCCCCTTTTTGTCTGATATGCTTCTAAAAGCAAAGGGGCAACTGGGTGGCAAGGTCACCTTGCCCCTAAGCCCTCTTTACTGTGTCAAAGTCCTCCTCAGAGTTTGTTGAGGGCACAAGGAGAGAAATGTGCTGCCCCTATGGCTGGCAGAGCATCCACTCCCTTCCCTTCCAACCAAAAAGAGTCATTTCTAACAGACCTGAAACAAGAGACAACACCCAGATACACAGACTGAAAACTGAAATGCCTGAAGGCTTCAACTTGAAGGATAATACATAAAGGGTTCTCTGTGTTTTTAATCCTATTTTAAATATTTATAGCACAAATATATCTCTTTTTATGTAAGCTTTACTGAGAATTCTCTCCGTCCAGAGCATCTGACGAACCTTGACTCCAAGTGTTCCTTTTGAAATTAAACAGTTTTGTGTTACCAATGAAGGCAGAAGCTGAAACATTTACCCAACCAATGTTATGCTTATCTTGGATTTCTCAGCCACATATTTATGGAGGTTTTTTGTGAATGCTTTCTGGTAAGGCTCCACAGCCTTGTTTAACATAGTAGTTTATTTGTTTTCTGCATAATATAGTCCCTTCCAATAGTGGGTGATACCATGTAGCAAAATAGGGTCACCCACATACAAGGGGAAAAGAAGATTACAAATCCAGATATGCATAAACATAGTTGTGATTAAAGCAAACAAACAAACAAACAGACAAACAGACAAACAAACAAACAAACAAACAAACCCATTCTTCTCCAAGTTAATCATTACTTTTTTTAAAATAGTGGGGGACTGGTTTGATAAAGGACCTAATAGCTAAAACACCCTAAGGGGATGGAGTTAGGAAATACACCTGGCAAAATGCACATCCCTCAACTTTTATTTCAACACAAACAATCTAAGATGCTATAACATTTCAAGGTTATAGCACCCTTGCAGCTAAAAAAAGCAATTCAATGCAGCTAGGTCCATTAATTAGGACTAGAGAAAAAACAATTGGATTTGGAGAACACTTGCAAAAGCAGCCAGAAAAATAGGCCTATGCTTGCAGAATGCAAACCTCATTTATATTTATAGACAGCTATTCTACCCACTGGAGATTAATATTATTTTTTTGCGTATGTTAACCTAACCTAATGCTGCAGCCTCTCTGTGATATACATTATAATGTTAGCCTAATTCAATAGAACAATATAATAATATCACTAGTAACCAATAAACATAGAAGCAGAACATTTGCAGGGAGTAAGATAATGGCCTGGTTCACATATCTCTTTAAACCATAATTAAACTAAACTATGGTTTAAAGAGATGTGTGAACCATAATTAAACTAAACTATGGTTTAAAGGTAGTTCATTTTGGAAAAACAAACCATGAACTTGGGCTTGAATATAATGTTCAGCCAGCCCATAGCTTAGGTCACTGTAGGGAAGAAGCAAAGTGCCCATGATTTCAGCAGCATGCCCAGTCAGGCTACACATCCCACTTAAAACCGTCAGCTGATGAGCAGGCATTAAATCCTGCTACTTATATCCATATGTGTTAAATCCATAGGGAACTGGCATATGCAGCCAATTCAGAATCAAACCCCAAACCCCTACCCATCAGCTGATGTCACCCACCTATTGGAGTGGTGTCAGCTGATTGACAGTTCGGCATGATTTTGAACAATGGCTTCATGGACCAAACTGGAACTCTTGGCAGATCAAGACTGGCCCATAGGCCAGAGGTTCCCCACCTCTGCTGTAACACTTAAAAATAATGCAGTAATTTAATATCAAACGATGTTGGGGCCATGGCAATATTCTGAAGCTGAACTGGTGCTATTAAAATATTTATTCTGTGGCTTTCAAGGTCAACAAAATGGGACCAATCTGTCTATAGTGATTGATAGCCATTATCAAAATATATTTATCTTGTGAACCACCCTGAGACCTGCAGGTATAGGGCGGTTTGTTTATTTATACATACATACATACATACATATGTTTGAATTGTCCCTATTTTACCCAGCAACAAATCCACTTTTCTGGTACATATCCCTGATTTTATTTTTTAAAACCCCCCACTGTAGCCCTGTCTTGCCATTTGGGGGAACGCCTTTCAGAGCATTTACTAGGATTTAAAACAAAATAGAAAATCCTTTAGATTTCAGTCTTCTCTGAGCGATAACATCTTGCCTCTGGCACACGGTGGGCCCCAAATGCCAACTCACCCACAACTGCTAATCTAAACCACAGAGCATCTCCTTTCTAGCAGCCACCACTGCACCCATTGCGAGATGATGATTATCATCACCACCATCTTTCTTTTTTTTTAAGGCTGCTATCTGTTAACTAACATCCTGCTTCAGCCAGGCTTTTGCAGACTCAATGTTAAAACCCGCAAGCAGCAGGAAGGGGAGGAGGAGATGGAGAGCCTCCTCCAATTGCCATGTGAGGGCAGCGATCCCTGCTGCCACGATTTACCCGCTACTCTCCACGCTCCCCTTCAGAATGGAAACCAAATTATATAGACGGAAAACAAGTGGGGTTTCCCCCCCCCTACCCCCTTATCTGGGTGCTTTTTTCGGGCGCATCATGGGGAGGGAGCTGCAGCAAAGTCTCTTTTTTTTTTGGAAAGGCAGGCATGGCACCTTCTCCCCAAATAGAAGAGCAGCCCTTCACAAATACGGCGTCCCCCCCCCTCAAAAAAAGGCAAATGCTCGTTTTGCCGAGGACGCGTCTCTCTGCTCCTTGGCGGCGATGGCGCCGGCCCTTCCCGCCTCCGCGGCCTCCCAACCCCTTCGCCGCCGCCGCCGCCTCCCGGCTCGAAGGGAAAATCCGTGAGGGGAAATATTTACCTCAGTTTTTCCGCTTCGCGCCCCCGCCCCGGGCCCGGGCTCCGCCTCACGCGGCCTAACGGAGCAGCTTCTGCCGCGGAGGCGCCTGGGGGGCCGCCGGCGAGGCGATTTCCGAAACAAAATGGGCGCGCCGTTGCTGTGGGGATGGAGGGGCTGCCGCGTCGCTGGGAGCGAGGCGCCTGCGTGGCCGCGGCCCGGCTCGCCGTTATGGGCTCCCTCGCAGCACCTGCACGGCCGCAGTCCGGGGAGGAGGCGCTTTCGCCCTCAGCCTCGGAGGCGGCTTCTGCTCGCCCAGGGCAGCCGCCGCCGCCGCCTTGCACGGAGAGAGAGAGAGAGAGAGGATGGAATTGGCGGGAAGGTTTTCTGGGTCGACCCCAGAAAAGACTTGCCTGAGGCGCGGGGTGGGGAACGAAGGGGTGTTATTAGTATTGTTGACGTCGTTCATTATTATCAGCGTTGTTGTTTTTCTGGAGAGAAATGTGGGGGAATTCACCAAATTTGCTTGTTTGTTTATTATGGGCCCAGTCGCAGTGCCACACAAACACTAGGAGCCATAGCTGTCAACTTACAGATTTGAAAATAAGGGACCAGCAGCCAAAATAAGGGATTTTGCCTTAGTTTATACAGAAATCCTGCACTCATGGAGCCATTCTGCTTTGGCTGCCCCTGACTCTGTTTTGCAGGGCGTTGGACTAGATGATCCTAAGGGTCTGCAACTCCCACCAAAGAAGAGGGGCAGACAAAACGGATGAACGACGTCGAGATGGCAAAGCTTCCAGGCAGAATTAGAAACCAGGAAGCGGACCTCTTTCATAAAGAATGGGGGACGTTTATAATTTAGTTGAAAAGCTATTGCAAAGAGTTACGTACATTTTACAAGAAAACTTGTAAAAATTTGAACTATGGATGGACAAATGATTTATGAAAATAGAGTTATGAAAGGGATGCAGAGGGGGAAATCACTACATTGAGATGCTGCAGTGGCTGGAGGGGATGCTAAGCAGCACGTCTTGGAGCGAGGAGTTCCATCGGCCCTTCCCTGCCCGAGAGAGAGGGACTCTTGCCCATGCCGCCCGCCAGCCCGGCATGAGGCAGTTGCGCTGCGGCCGCTGAAGCGCCGCCCTTCTGCGTCCCTCCCCATCCCCTCCTCTTCCTCCTCCCTCAGGCCGCCTCCTCAGCCGCTGCCGCCTCCAGCTTCCCCTGGCAGTGCGGCAGAAGTCTTGCAAGAGAGGGGCTGCCTGCCCGCCCGCCGCCACCTGTCTCCTCACGATGCACCTTTGAGGGGGAAAAGGGAGAGACGGGGACGCGGCACCTCATGCACGCGTTCTCTCTCACGGCGGAGGACCCCGAGCTGCTGCTTCCCTCCCCAGCCAGGCGAGCATGAAACCCGGGAAATTTAAGGGACATCATCATTCTGGGACAGCAGTGGGAAACGGCGCTGGGATAAGGGAGTTTCCCACCAAATAAGGGACGGTTGACAGCTATGCTAGGAGCCAACTGCTAGGAGTCTTTGCGCCCCTCTTAAAATATTTGAGGGGCCTGGACCCCACAAAGTTGATGGGCATTGCCATTCAAATACTGTAGTGTGTGTGCACCCCATCATGTGATTGATTATGCAGGGTGGGGCTTACCGCCCGCCTGCCCCCCTCAATTTCTTTGGACTAGTTGGCACCCCTGAAAAGTAAGCTGTGATTAATAAACTCAAGCAGACAATGGTCTGGATTAGAAACGGCCAAGACTTTATTGATTACAGTTATAGGTGGATTTTTGGCTCAGGCATTGGGTATATATTCGTTCCAGCCCCCCATCCCACCCGACCAAAAAAAAAATATTTAAAAAGGTAAGGGACCTCCATTCCTCTCGAGTTCCTGCTCAAAAAACACCCCTGACGATGATTATTATTTATTATATTTATTAGTCACTTTCCCTTGCCAGGGCAACTCAATGCCATTTACAAAAACCCAACATAGTGTTACGAGTTTGTGGGTGCCAGACCCCTATACAGTAATCCCTGGATCCAGCAAGTGTTAAAAGGTAATTAAGCCAGGCTAGCTTCCTGTGATTGCCTGGGTGACCGGCCATTAAGAGAACAAAAGATGAAGGGGTTTGGTGCAAGATGAGAAATGAATGAGGGTCCTCCCTCAACAAACTAAAGCCAGAGTTTAGTGTCAGTGTTCGAAACTCCCATTGTTCTTTGCGCATTTTGGGACAGGGAATTTCATTAGTGTGAGCAGTTTCTGAGCTCTGGGCCTAAGATTTCAGATTAAAACTACAGAGTGGAAAGAAAGGACTTTTTTCTGCCTCCCCACTCCCAGCTACTCTCTGAAGACTGGAGAAGAGACCCTCTTAAGAATATTAGGGGGGGCAGGCAGGGGAAGGACTAGACCATGTGAGAAATGAACATAATATTTTAGCTGCAGTTCCTTCATTTTCCGCTTTTTATTCTTATAAAGAAGTGTGCCTAGAGCCCTAGACATTCCACTGTTGCGCCCATAACCTAGGTTTAAGGTGCCATTTAGCTCCTAAGCTTTCATATCTCAGTTTCTAACACTAGCGCATAGATATGAGGGAGAGTGATGTGACAGAGAAAAGAGGCAGCAAGCTGGAAAGGCTCGAAATAAATAAATAAAAAGTATTTAGGCAGCTCTGCTAGTAAGGGTGTAAAGGGTTGCTGCCTTGGTTGGATTTACTATTGAAAGAACTTGCATAAGGTTGGGCAGTCAGTGACTATAGATGTTCCTAGTGATCGTAATTTGTCTACCTGTACGTAGGGAATTCATTTTCCGGAGAAAATAAATAAAATTCCTCCGGGGGTTTACTAAAAGGTCAAGAAGAGAAAGAGTATGAACTGGCAAGATGGGACCGGAAAAAGGACTGGTGCCATATGAGACAGGAAGCATAATGCTTTGTGGTGATAGCCTTATTTCAGAATACACTTTGGAGCTGTCCTGTAGATATTGATAATAAAATTAGGGTGTTTATTTCCTTATTGTCTATATGTAATAGGTATATTTCAAGAGAAAGGGAGAGCCTATGATAAGGTGCTTAATATAGCTTGGTTATCTCTTTAGGTTTTAGAAAGGAACAGTTCTTGTTAAATATTAATTCAGTGCACAAGGGCAAATGGATAAATGGTGCAATTTACACATGGTCAAAAGGTCAGCCAGTGAATTTAAATTCCAGGTACCTAAACTGCAGCTAAACACACTGTTGTAGCTTACAGAGGAGCATTTCCCATGTGAATAATGTTTCACTCTCTTTGCATGCTACATTTGGAGCAACAGACTCACATGAATCCTTTCTGTGAGTGCAGGACATGGGTAACTGTTGATATACGTATATTTTTCTTGCTAATTTCTCTATAAAACATAGGGAGTTGGCATATTTTTTGTAGTCACCATTCACAAAAATGTTATGCATTTATGCAAGGCATTAGCAGTGTGGTGCCCAGAGGTGCACGTTTGCCTACAAAGACCATACTTGAATAATTTGCACAAATGACAGTTAAGCTATGCATTTTGCAGAAGATCTGCTATTGATCTGGCAACCTGCTATTGCTTTTTATGGTGTAGATGCAGCCAAGAGAAAGAGGTGGTTGTTTGATAATTTGAGTGGAATGGGGGGGGTCCTATTAACCCTTTCCTCCATGCTATTGTCCCTGCTTTAAATCGGGGGGGGGGGGAGGTATTTGTGATCCACAGGGAGGAGGTATTACGTAGTATGCCCTGTGTGAATTTTACGTCTTTTCAAATTATGACTGAAGTCCAAAATACTGATTGTATGTATAAATGCAAAACTTTCCTGACAAATATATTTTCCCTCAGGCTCCACACCACGCCAGTAAAAATTCTGGTACATTGTCCATGTTGCTTCAGACTCAGATTAGGTGGGTAAATGTTCTGTAATGTAATGAATTTGCAAATGTATTTTTTAAGGCAGATACGGTTAACGTTCCTGTTTCAGCATTATTCATATGCAAGATGCTCTAGAAGCATTGAATACACCACACGGTGCTTTTACAAAATGAATGAATCATCATATGTGCTTATTGCGCCAATCCTATGCATGATTACAGAAGCTCAAAGAGCCTTATCTCTCAGATAAATATGTATAGGCCTGCATCCTGAGAGTTCTGCAAACTAGAACAAACTATAGAAAGAAGTGCCCCTGCCAGACTGAAACACTTCCTCTCCTATTTTGCTTCCTAAAATACACTTCACTCAAGGAACTGCAGATTAAAATAACAACAGTCTGACTTCAGTGACAGAATGGCAAACTATTCCCTAGCACACAGCATGCTTTGCTTTAAGGCAGGGGTGGCCTTGTACAATCACAATTACCTTTAACCAAGCTTTGAAGGTCAGCTTGCAGTGTGCTTGCCTTTACATCAAGATTTTCCTCAGAATACCTTTTTTTGGGTGTTCCTGCTAGCCTGTGAGCAGTGGCGTAGCGTGGGGGGTGCAGGGGGGCCCGGCTGCACCGGGCGCAGCATCTGGGGGGCGCGCGCTCGTACTTGCAGCTCTCTGCCTCTACTAAAATCCACGGGTTAGGGGGCGCAAATTACTTGCCTTGCCCCGGGTGCTGACAACCCACGCTACGCCACTGCCTGTGAGTGGCTACTATGGGAAGGACCTTCTCTGTGGTGGCACTCTGACTGTGGCATGCATGCTCTTACCAGGGAGATTCGCCCAATTCATACTCTGATGGAGTTTCAGCATTATTTTTTTTAAAAAAATAATAATTAGGCTTTTCAATCTAATTTCTGCTGAATACTTTTATGCTGCTCTTTTAAAAACACAGCTTTTAAACTGTTTTTGGTTTTGTTCCCTTTTCTTTGTTGAAGGATAGAATATATGTCCCTAAAGTATATTTCAAAGCCAGCATCAAACTCTGGCTTAAGGCTAACCATAGGGAATGTTATTGCTACTACAATGTTTTTCAGGTGTTAAAGCAGTTGTACCTTGGATCCCAAACACCTTGGTACTTGGATGTTTTGGCTCCCGAACGCCGCAAACCCAAAAGTGACTATTCCAGTTTGTGAACTATTTTTGGAAGCCAAACGTCCAGTGGGGCTTCCACGGCTTCCGATTGGCTGCAGGAGTATCCTGCAGCCAATCAGAAGCCTCACTTTGGTTTCCAAACATTCTGGAAGTTGAACGGACTTCCAGAATGGATTCCATTCGACTTCCAAGGTACTACTGTACCAAACTGTCGTTAAGTAGAAACAAACAAGCATGAATGAGCTC